CTATAAGTGAGACTGCAGGAAATCTAACACACGTTTAAAGAAACCAGTCCCGTCCTATTGTAAGTGTTGGCTCTTTGTGGTCCATGTTCCAGGTCTTTACCCTGCAGCTCTTCAGGTTTTTGGATTTTGCATGTTGAGAAATAAGGATGTAATTCAGTGTTAAGATTTCCCCCCTAGAAATTGTTTCATTTTTACTCATTTGCTCCATTTGATCTAGGAGTCGGAACATTTTCCTGTGTTGTATATTTGTGAGATTCTCTGTTTGAGGAGGAAATGAAACCGCCCCGTGTGAGTGAGATGCTTTTGATGTGTTATGAGAGAGTGATGTGATTTTATTGCCCTTCAAGGTATAGTCCTTGAGTCCTAAAAGCTCAAACTGTGTATGTGTGTGCTGCATCATTTGCCGCTGTCTCTGCTATACATCATTTGCAATAACTATTTCCTTGCACTGTAACAAGCTTTCTGCTTTGCTTACCCTGAATAGCCCAAAGCAGCTTCAAGACAGTGAACAGCAGCTCTGCATTAACGACGTATGAATTAACACGTAAGTGCACATTGCCTTTAGATGAGACTCTTTGTAATGGTTCAAAATACACTATAGGCAAACTCCTATGGTTCTCCTCAGTGGATCCAGCAGAAATCAACACGGATTAATGATTCTGCTTCCCTGAGTTTCTTTTTCTTTAAGCCTTTGCTTTCCCTACAGCAAGAGACATTGATGATGCAAGTAGGTAGCTGTTGTAAAAATGCAGCTGCTGGGAAGGTAAAACATTATTGACTGTAACAACCCAGTATTGCTGATGCTAAATGAATTTTGATTCGCTTGCTACATATTTTGCAGTCCATCTGAGTTTTGCTGTATCACATCATTAGTCCTATGATTCAAGCACTGCGATGCACAGGCATTCCATGGAGTAGAGGGTCAGTTTAGAGAGGGCCCAATGAATTTATGTGCATCTCCAGAGGTGTTTTCAATTGGAAATGAATAAAATAGCATTCGACAGAGTTAAAAGGCAAGTTGCTGTGTGGTGATGATGGTTCACTAGATAGGTTTTGCCCAAGGCTTTTGACTCACAGATTGTGATGGGCCAAAAAAATAAATAAAATAAAAAAAATGAAGCCCTATCCCCAGTGAAACTTGCATGCATGAACTCTCATGTGTTCCAGTTTCTTCCACATCCAGTTAACACTAAAATCTCCCTTGTGGCTTTTCATGGCAGCAATTAAAGTTTCCCCGTACAAGCCGCCCAGTACGATAGCCTATATATCTTAGTATTTTTTGTTTGTTTGTTTACAAACTTGGCATCATTATTGCTGATTTGCTTGCTACATATTTTGCAGTCCATTTGGATTTAGTGGTATTGCATCAAAAATTTAGCAATGTATCAGATATCATTTACGGTATACCCAAGACCCGGGAATGATGCTGGACTCTGCATCAGATATGGGAGCACAACGCTTGTAAACATTTCCATGAAACTGAAATTAGCCAGACCTGTACAATCAGGTTTATTGAACCTACCAAAGCAATGGCATACTGCCAGGTGCAGAGTTAGGGGTGCTGTGAGAGCAGAGAAAATCATTGGCAAGGGGAGAAGTTTGGACCCCTGGCCACGCGTGTCTCAATCAGTTCAATGCTCATTTAAATACAGAAATATATGTTATTGATTGCTCTCTTCCTCTGATTTCACTGTTAAATATTTTAGATCATAAATATATCTGTTAGGATTGATTTTTTTTCATTCTGTAAACGCAAAATCTGAAACGAAGCTGCTTAGATGCTGCTTCCCCTAATGACGTTGACATGATTCTACTCCACCCTCGTTTGCATCTACTAATTCCCCTCATGCAATTGGGCTTTTCTAGATATTTTCACACTGCTCTTGCTCTCCTACCTCATCAGTCAGAGTAGTTTCTACTACTTTCTTTGCTTTGTCAGCAAAGAAATTGGTTGTCTGGTGGCCAAATGGAGTCCAGACCTCAAATTCTTCTTTCTCTGTGATTGACGTTCAGGCTGCGGTCACTTTGAAGGAGCAAGATACCCATGCAGTATCAAATGGGACTGCTGATTGCCTGCTGCAGATCTTCTTCTGCACCCTGCTTCAGCAGTGATGTTCTTGAGCAGTGCAGTTGCTAAATGGCTCCCTGCAAGTCCCAGGATTAGGCAAAGGCTTGAAGCCATGCTCTTTCCTACCAGTAGAGCTCAAAAGGACCCTATATGTTGAACATTCAAAGCAAAGTCCAGCCTTTTTTCTTTCATTAAGAATGATCTAGAGATGTTCCTCTAACTGGATACCTATCAGGAATGATTCCTCTTACTGGAGCAACATGTGGAACTGGAAAAGCCTGCCATTTCATTCCAAAGATCTTTCATAGTTATGTATATCCTGCATTTGTATGAATTAAGGAAGGGTGGAAGTAGAGATTGCACTGTTTAATGCTGTATTTCATGAGAGAGGTCTGGTGATAAAGAGGTCATGGAGTCTAAAAAATACCTGTAATACAGTATAAATATTTACATAAAACATTTTACTTCCTCAGAGTTGAAGAAATACAAGAGATATGAAGTACTGATGACAGCATATAATGTAATTGGTGAGAGCCCTACCAGCACGCCAGTGGAAGTGTTTGTGGGTGAAGCAGGTAAGTAAAAGGAAAATTAGTTTTGGGGGATTTTTATCTACTGACATTTTTTAATATTCTCCAGATGATATTTAATATTCACCCAGGAAAGGAATTATTTGGAAGATTCCCTGGTCATGATCATTAACAGTTTTTTGGAGCATCCTCTCCAGCAATAGGTTGGCACTGACAGTTTCTTGCCATTTGAAAGCCAGTTGGTCTACACGAATAAGGGAGTAAGGGCATTTGAAAGAGAAGAGAAAGTATTTTTTGGAGTCGCAGGAGGATGACTGTTCATACCAAATTAGCTGGAGGGAAAAATTGACTCAAGTTAAAGAAGTGAAAAGTGGAGCACAGGAAAGCCACAAGGGAAAAGAATCAAAACTACAAAACAAGGGAGACTTGGAAAGCTGCTGCTTTTGTTTCATTGCTCTCTGTGTAGAGACATTGCCTGTGCACCACACCTTGCTGTATTTTTATGCTCTTGAAGTCAAGAAGACACTGTGTCTGGTTTAATGCTGGCTTTGGAGGCACATGATGATGGCTGTCAGGGACACGCATCTGTATCCGCATCCAGGCTCCCCAGAAGCTGAGGGTCAGTGGCTTTATTTGTGCCTTTACTTGTTATGGACCGAGTCTTGAATCCAGGCTGCGTTTATGAAATGTAACTTGCCGCTCGTTTTAAAATCCCTCAATCGGAAGGCTGGAGGCAGAAATCGGGGTGAGACAGTCAACTAGAGGCACTTCTTTGAATGCTTTGTGAATTTGCAGTGCCCAGATAACCCACAGCTGAGCCTGTGCCCTCTCAGTAACTCTGCCCAAAAAGCACAGGACAGGAATAGCTGACGTCTTCCTCACAGCCACGACGGTGGCACCGTATTTATGGTGACCCCAGCTGGAGAGAGGCTGGCGCCCAAATTGTTGTTAGTTACGGTATCAGTTTCTGCAGCAGCATCTTTTGAAGCTTAGGACCAGAATAGGCGACACGTACCCTCCTGTTGTTCAGTCTGCCGCCGTGAATGAATCTGATTACACTTTGTTCTTCTGTCTCAAGGCTAGGCTGTAGAAGCTATCAAACCCAGCACTAATTCATTTTATTATTCATTAAATATTCTATTGCTCAAAACTAAGCAAAGCACTTTTTTTTCTTTTTAAACTCTACTTAACCTTTTCATTTCAAATATGGTGTAACATTCAGTATCTTTCTCTGAAAACATCATAAATTAATCAGAGCAACATGGTTCTAGAGAGACAGCTGGCAGTATTTACATTTTTTTTCCTAGTTTGCTGCTGCTCCAACTTACTTCTGCAACTGCAGCAAAGAAAGCCCCAAGTGGAGCCAACTGTATCTGGCTTCAAAGCACATTTTTGTTTCAGAGCTAACTATCTCACTGCTGCAAATGGAGCCAGCACATGCATTTGTACACGTGTACATGGCACAGAAAATCAGCTGGGGAAAACAAGCAAACACTGTCATATCGTGTCATTTAATCCCACGGTCCAGGTCTTCCTCATTGTAACTTGGAATAGGGCAATGGAAGGAGCCAAACTTGGGAAGAAAGGGAGATATCCAGGAGACCTCCTTTCACACGCAGGGCTGGTATAGCTGAAGTTGTAGCATGCCTCAGATGGGTTTTTAGCAATACTGGATTTACCTCTGGTTAGGGACAATCCAGGTTCATGCGGTAGAAATGATGAATGCAGGCTCTTCCTGCCGATTTTCACTCTTGTTGTGTGAAGTTATTATGCTTTGTTATAGAACTGCCTCTTCCACCTCCAGAACTGGCTTTGATTTATCCTGTGAGTAAAGTGATTGGAGCTGGTATTGCAATTTAAGTTTTAAATTGATTTGTGACACCTCTGAGTTAAAGCGTGCTGTGGAAATACAACTTTTTGTTGTTATTGTTTGCTTGATGTGCTTACCCGTGGTAAAGGCAGCTAAGCAGCAAGCTGGAAAAAATGGGTCTGCTTAGCTTCAGCAATGGGGCATCCATGTAGAGAAAACCTTCCCAATAAACCAGTGCTGACAACACAGGTATAGCACTGAACACAAAATGATGGAAGAGGAGCAGTCCTCGGTCTGAAGGCCCCAGATAACTTACATCTCAGCACTGTTAAATGGTGCTCTGTTCTGCCGTAAGGGTTGCTGTAATTCTGGTAAGGGTGAGTACATTCCTCTCTCAGTCGTAAAAAGGAATATACAGCACATGCTTTGGGGGAAATGCACTGGGTTTGGGCCAGGTCAGTGAAAATACCCCGTTTTGTTCACTCCTGGTGGGTGTTTCATATAGCATGGGGCACCTGGAAATAGTACTGATGTTTGATGGTGCTGTTCAGCTTCTGTGTCTGGTGCAGGAGGAGGAGCCCCTGTGAATCTTTCCTTCCCTCTTGCACTCTCCCCTGTTGAATTGAAGATTTTCCTATCATCGTACCTGGAATTTTAAAATGAAAGGTCAAGTAGGCAATGGAGCTCCCTGACAAACTCGAAAAAAATGCCATTACAACAACCTTCTGGCAGTTTTGCCCATCAAATGAGTAAAAACCACCCAAATGAGGTGTCCTTCCCCCACCTGCCTCAAGAATCCAAATCCCTCGCCTCTGCAGAACAGAAGGTCCTCAAAACATCGCCTTTTTAGAGCTGGCTGCAGCTCTGCCCTGCTCATTAGAGAACCATGTGCATCTCCCGACAAATGACAGAAAAATTGAAAGCCGCCACTTGCAGAAATTAGGAAGGGAGTCACAGCCCCCTCGGCGAGCCCCCTTCTCGCCTTGTTAATTCATTTAACAGTTCAGCTGTCAGGGATGCTGGCTTTGATTGGGGAGGCAGTGAGTGTTCAGCGAGAGGCTGGGTCCTGATATTCATCCCAGCCCCAAACGCAGCTGCTACCAGAGGTGCTGTTCTGCTTGACTGAAATTAAGACTCTGTTAGAGCAGCCACTCTATCAAGAGCGTTATTCTACCAGGTCTCTGTCACTCCCTGATTGTGCAGTGGGCTCTGGAGTTGAGGAGATTTCACTACCTGCATTTTAATTAAACAGAAATCACAGGTTTGGGGGCAGGCGCGCTTCACCTAGTTTGGGAAGGTGAATAAAATGGAAGGCGGCAACACAAATCCTGTGCTAACGAGCCTGAGGTCGCCAGTGCTTCTCCCATATACTGCAAAGCTGTTCTGGATGAAAAATAATGGAATTCATAATTTCTTCCAGCAGCTGCTGCTGGAGGAGAGCACGCGTGTGTGGAGAGGAGGCAGCAGAAGGGGTGAAGCGCACCGAGAGTGCAGTAGCCTTTAAACGGGTTGTAAATCCATTTGTGTGAAGAGGGGAGTGATGTGTGTTGTTGTAACTGATGGTGACATTGGTGACCTTCAGAATGCACAAGAACTGATGAGGCTGCTTTGTTGTTGTTGTTCTTTTTAATAATCATTTGAGAGCTGGTTCTGCAATGGGGAAAGGCAAGGAGTGAAAAGAGCTGGGAGACAGAGATCCTCTTCTCAGACCTCTGTTGGAAAGCCGCCTTGATTGTACCATCATCTTTTGGAAGAGGTTTCCTGGCCATCTCACTTCCTTCCAAGTGAAACTGTAGCTTGGAAAGGAACAGGAGAGGGACAGAAGGAAAACTGTGTCTTACCTCTCCTTTCTCACCATCTTCAGGAACCTGAATCTACCTCTTGGTGCAAAGCTAGCAGACACCTGAGCAGATTTCCCACTGTTATCTGCAATTATTTTCATCTGCCCTCCCATCTGTGGCTCCACAGATGTTCCTGCAGTTCACAAACTTTATTTTGTCCACCCGTAGCTGACTCATGGAGGGCAGCTCAGCTCTGTCAGTAATGTCAGGGGGAGCGCTCAGAGCTGCCTGGCCATCTGCAGCGTTTTGCAGGGAAGAAATAGAAACCTCTTTAAAAGCTCCAAGACAAAATACAGTGATTTAGGTTTGGGAAAGAGAAGACAAAATAGAGAGAAGAAGCTGTGCTAAGAGAGAAAAGCCTCATAAGGAAGCAAAGCCTTGACTCCAGGCACCTGACTCCCCTCTATAAACTGCTTCTAGCAAAGAGCTCTTGTCCCTCCTCACCTCCTTGTCTGTGCTGGGGCAGTGTCCCTTTGTCTGTGTGCTAGTGCCAGAGAACGTTGCCAGAACAAGGCTGCTTTGTCCTTGAGTGCTTTCACCTCTTTCCGTGGGCCTCACTCTTTTCCTGTGTTCATACAAAATACCCTGCGTGGTGTCACCTGTGTCATAGGTCGCTTTGTGGAGAAGAGAGTCCCTCAGCACTACCTTGGCCCTCCCTTTCTCTCATAGCACAGCAGCTTTATCTCCTTCCCTGCCCCGAATGTAGCTAAGAAGATGCTGTGCGAAGTCCCCCGTGCCTCCTTGTTAACAGCCTACAAGAGGAATGACAACATTTCAAGGCATTCGAGCTGGCAGCTTCAATCAGTCTGCTGTGGCCCCCATGGCTGTTTTCTCCTATCTGCTTGGGACACGTGGGCCGTGTCTCTCGGTGGCTGCCTGCGCGTATGCAGATAGGGAGCGCATCGCTGCTGGCGCAGCTGGGAGAACTGGGTGGGCATTTCCATCCCAGACACCACTGGAGGAGGGAAGGGAAGGGATTATCGTGGCCTTTTCACATTGCGGTAGTCTAAAACCTGTCAGCCTGGGGACAGTATCTTCCCTTGATAAACAGAAGGGGATGGAGGGAAGCTCTTGGAAAGCAGTATAATAAATAAATTACTGGTTTCACTTGCTCATACTTTAAACAAAGGAGTTGACCTTCCTTGGCACTTTAAAAGCACTAAGCTTTTGAAATGCCAAGATATTTGCCTTTTAATTATTGACACTTCTGAACGTCAGCAAAAGACTAGTTTTGGAGGATGACAGGGTGTTTGAAACACTGATTTTCCTTTCCCCCTCCCCTTTAAATTTGAAGATTCTTCAGAGCTGTTCCGATATTGTGCTCAATTGTGAATTAGCTTTACACAGCGGTCCTGGGAACACCCTGCTCCAAGAGTGACACTGGGTTTCATCCT